AAAAAAAAAAAAAGGAAGAAGAAGAAAATGATGATGAGAAGAAGAAGAAAAGAAGTGAGGAAGAAAAATAAGGAGAAAAATAAAAAAAATAAAATTGTCCTTGATTACTTATCTGTGCGACGGCGATGACAAGGACGGCGCGGCGCAGCGACAAGGACGAGAGGCATGGTCATGATGACGTGGCGCAACGGCGGCGATCCCGTCGGTGAGGATGATGACGGGGCACAATGACGATGATCGTGATGATGACGATGATGACGTGGCACGGCGGCGATGATCTCGACGATGGTTGATGATGGCCAGGTGACGACGTCGAAGCAGGGTGKGTCGGGCGGGTTCGAACCGCTCCGATACCAGTGTAACGAGCGTGAGGCTGAGGGTGAGCCGAGGGAGATGAGAGAGAGGGAGAGAGTGAGAGCACACACACACTCACTCACTCGACACGACGGACTCGGACTGAGGGTCGGACGCAGACACAGTGGCAAGGCACAAAGTCGAAGTCTTGGATTCCGAATGCCCAAACGGCAAGTCACACTGAGTACGAGTACAGCAGCAGAGAACTGGTCGAGACTCCCCCCTGTACCGTACAGGGAGCCGGTCATAAGTATGGTGACACGTACGGTACCAGGGGCATTTCTGCAAAGGCCCCGAGGGCAGAACTGAAAAATGCAGTATTTGAAAGTGGCGCCCGAATTGCAGCATGGCGCCAGTTGTCCAAAATCCTACGGTACCAAAAGGAGGGGTTTGGAAAAAGGGTGCCAGGCCGAAAACGGGATGCAGCCGAAACAGCAAAAGATAGACCAGGGATCGAGCCCTGGCGAAGTCCGTAACAGCTCTCCTCTCTCTCTCTCTCTCTCTCTCTCTCTCTCTCTCTCTCTCTCTCTCTCTCTCTCTCGGCGTTGTCTTCTGTGCAGGTACGCGGCACCTCCTTCCGCAGCGCAGCTATGGCGGACTCCTCTTCTCCGATGGTGCACCTAGCAACGACTATGGCGCATGGGGTAACGGGAACCAGCTCTGATACCATTGTAATCAGAGTCGCTTTCACTTCCACTTCACATAAATGCAAACAGATGGAGATTCACACTGGCGCAGGGCGCCCACTCAAAGCTTTAGAGATATGGAAATCAAGAACACGGTTCAGATGCAAGTTCACTTCAACAAGCTATGGCGCATCGGCGCCTGAACATCCCAACCTTTGTCACTGTGTCCAACCCCAGTGATCACACACGCTCACTCTGGATCACCCTGAGTACCACCACACACACACGCTTAATCTCACTTCCTCCTACAGCGGCTATGGCCGCACTACCACTGCTAACTATGGCTATGATCTCCCTTCAGCCCACTTCGTCTTCGGGGCACCTGCAGACCACCCTCGCACAAGACGCTGTAGCAGCACTTCCGCATGGCTTCCTGCAAGGAAAATAAGTAACAGCGAGATGACAAATCCAGATCACACCATCACATTGAAAGCCAAATAGTCACACCGTGTCCAGAGAGCAGCATTGCACYAATAWTACACCAATGGARGTTCGTAGCACTGAAAACCAATGTTCATGGAGAGCATACTCTCTCCTCCCAACACAAGAGTCCAGTTCCTTCACACTCRCACTTGGCGCTCAGCGCCCAGCCTACTCCTACACAGCTACTACAGACTACAAAAGACAATGCAACTGTTGACATCAGCGGCAGCCCGAAGTACTTGAAGATGTCGCCCATGCAGACCATCGCCAATACAACGTAAGCGCCCTCACATCTTCATCATCATCATCATCCTTCACCTATCCCCTGACTACACCCACACCTGTCCTCTCTTTCACCCGAAGACCACCCCTGCGCTTCACTGCAGTCCAAGCCCTGTCTCTTATACACATCTAGATGTGTATAAGAGACAGCTGCATGAGGCTGCGAATCACGCCCAGGGCCTGCATTCTTTGGAAAGGCCCGGAGGGCTGTGGAAATGTCTTTGTTGCTCGGCCTGTGTTTCGCTCAACCAACTGGTGCGTCGCAACTGCCTGGACCCCAAATATGAAATTGACAGTCGAGGGCCTCTTGCAAAAAGCCAGGCCCGCCTTCACTTAGGGCGGGCACCTCCGCCTTCGCTTAGGGCGGGTAAGGCTGCAAACAGGGCCCCATAGGCCTACCGAGGACCCTTATCCTCGCATTCCGCAGCGAATGAATGAATGGCTGGGCACTGCCTCTTGATTTATATTTCTGTAACTCGTTGGTCTGCTCCTTTCCCAGGCCCTTGGTGTACACAGTCCCACACGGTACTTGCTTGACTGGACTCTGACTGACTGGGACCGGTACCGCTGACTGCATGGGTTTGCACTGCCAACTCGATGCAGTCGCACTGCCGACGTAATGCAGTTGGGCTCACCACTTGCTCACTTGCGTCTGACTAAACGTGAGACACTTCGAAGGGCCACTTCCAGACCTTCCGGAAGTCTGTGGACTTGGCCTTTCGGGTACTGTAGCAGCTACGACCTTGACCTTTCAGGATTGTTGCAGCTACGACCTTGACCTTTCAGAGCATCTACAGCCACGACCTCTACAGAGCTGTGACTCCTAATCGACAGACCTACAGATCAAACCCCTACCTACACAGACCTACGACAGACGACAAACAACTACCAAAACACAGATCACGGGTTCAAACAATCGGGGGTCGACTCAATACTGTACATGGACAAAGTGAGGTCTGGGGATCGAACTCTAGGGCCCGCATCTGTGACTGCAGAAAGGTGAAAACCGTTTCAGATGCAAGTACACAGATTTGGACAATGGTGACTGGATTTAATGGCTCCTGAATCACACAACTGTTTCTATTGAACCGTTTTCTGACAGGTTTTACAACCAACAGAACAAGGTTACAGTTGGCCAGCCGATATATGGAGTCTTGGCTGTACTGTGCTCGAAATGGCAGAGGGGAAACCACCGTGGAGTGACTTGCGTGGGGTAAGTTCAGTCACCTTTGTATACGTCCGGGAACTATTTTGTTCTTTTTTGCAGCTTGTGTAGTGACATTGGGTATGGAGGATTCATGCAGTTTGTTGATTGAATTTCATTCCTGAAACCGATTATTGTGGCGTGCAACGGAAAGAAAGACCTGCTGGCTAACTGGGGAGTGCATAGGATGCCCGTTTGAGGCAAATGGAAAGAAAGAACAGCCAGGTGATCTGTGTGCAAATGAAATCTGGTCCCACAGGTGAGTCCTGCCAGTGGACTACTGTCTTCACCCGAATGGAATGCTCAGTCATTATAGCTGTATTTGGACAAACTTTCAGTCCACACGCGCATGATAATGAACAGGCGTTCTATTTGGGTGAAGATAGTAGCACACCAGGTCGGGTCTTGGTTCTTTAGGGGGCAGTCCATATGAACTACCAGAGGTTCATGTAGCTGACTGCATGCCCTCTGCGGATCATGCAGGTTCAACAAGCGTGCTCAAAAATAGGATGGTTGCATGGTATCTGAGCTGACCACCGAACTCGCAGACTCAGCAGCTGTACTCAAAAGATTTTGGCAACTTAAACATCAGGGAAACACGCATGCACTGCTGCGGATTTTGGGACCCATCTTTTGGGGGATTCAGTTGTAGTTTCTCTTGAATGGCTGTTATGCATGTCTTTTCTCTGTTTTGGTAGGAATGAGTTGTCTTGAATGTCTTCCCCATTCTCTGATGTCCTTGTTGCTCTGAGTGGTGTGCCCACCTCTTGTACTTGGCTATACTCGCACGAGGTCAGCTATATGCCTGCAGGGAAGTCTTTTTTTCCCCTTAATAACTCTTATAAAGTAAACAGCGGGTCTTGCGTGATGCTCCCCTGCAAGGCGCAAACGCCATTGGCTGGGAACTCTCAGTTGGGCCCAAGGTCTCAGTGGGGCGGTCTTCTTTTTTCTTTAGTTTTCCTGGTGCAGTTTTCTTTCTTCTTTCGTGTCGTGTGTGAATGTTGGCACAGGTTGGGTCTTGGTTCTTAGGGGGCGGTCACATGAACTACCAGAGGTTCATGTGGCTGACTGCATGCCCTCTGCAGATCATGCAGGTTGAACAAGCGTACTCAAAAATAGGATGGTTGCATGACATCTGAGCCGGCCACCGAACTCACAGACTCAGCAGCTGTACTCAAAAGATTTTGGCCACTTAAACCAACAGTACTTGGCCCATACATGGGCCACGGGCCTTCCCCATTAACGCGTCGCAGTTTTCGGGGTTCGGGGAAGGCCCAGCAGTGCAATGGAGGAGGACGTGCATGGGCCCACAAAAACGGGGCAAATGGACTGTAAGATGTCCTGGTGCTGGGCTATGTGGAAACGTTCGGAGGCCGAAGGTGACGAGGGGGAAAAGAGAAAAGAAAAGGAACTGCAACCCAAGAAGAAAAAAAAAAAACAGATCGTTGCTTTTCTTTCTTTTATTATTTTTGTAAGAAAAGTTAGAAAACTGGTTTTTCACGAGTGCCCCCCAGTCCTGTAAGGTTAGCACTTTCTAGAATGTATCCGGCTGTACTTGTGGGCACAGTGGATGAATCTGAGGGCACAGTATCTCGGCCGTTTGTGCTTCTGCTCCCCGTGAGACATGAGGAGCATTCAATGCTTGCCAACGGTTCCAAGAACACAGCTTCACTGTGACGTAGCACTTTCCAGAATGTATCTGGCTGCACTTCGGTGCAGCAGAGGATGTATTTGAGGGCATTCACGTTCAGAGCTCGGTACCTCTCCTCCCCTTTATTTTTTTTTGTTTTCTGTTTTTTTTTTTTTTTTTTGGGAAGCAGTATCGCGGCTGTTTGTGCTTCTGCTCCCCGTGAGAGACGGGGAGCATTCAATGCGTGCCAACCGTTTCAATTCCAGGGCTTCACTGTGACGTAGCACTTTCCAGAATGTATCTGGCTGTGCGAGGATCAGGGTCCTCGGTAGGCCTATGGGGCCCTGTTTGCAGCATGTGAAGACGAAGGTGCCCGCCCTAAGTGAAGGTGGGCCTGGCTTTTTGCAAGAGGCCCTCGACTGTCAATTTCATATTTGGGGTCCAGGCAGTTGCGACGCGCCAGTTGGTTGACAGAAACACAGGCCCAGCAACAAAGACATTCCTGGGGCCTTCCGGAAGCTTCTGGGCCCAGGCCAGCCCAGCCAGGCTGCGCGAGCAGGCCAGTTCTTTCCATAAAGGAAAGAGCTCTGGCCAGGCAGCCTCATTCAAGCACTCGCATGCTGCCGGCAGCGCTGCTGGAGCAAAGGCTCGCGGCTGCTGGCTGGCGCTGAGAGGCGAGGTGCAGCACGTGCGGTCGTGCAGGGAAGAAGGGCGCTGCTGAGGGCAGCGCCATAGCCAGCCTTCATAGCCGGCTGGGCTTGGACTATAGTGAGGCGCAGGGGTGGTCTTCGGGTGAAACAGAGGACAGACGTGGGTGTAGTCAGGGGATAGGTGAAGGATGATGATGATGATGAAGATGTGAGGGCACATACTTTGTATTGGCGATGGTCTGCATGGGCGACATCTTCAAGTACTTCAGGCTGCCGCTGATGTCAACAGTTGCATTGTCATTTCGTAGTCTGTAGTAGCTGTGCATGAGTATGCTGGGCGCTGAGCGCCAAGTGTGAGTGTGAAGGAACTGGACTCTTGTGTTGAGAGGAGAGAGTATGCTCTCCATGAACATTGGTTTTCAGTGCTACGAACCTCCATTTGTGTATTATTGGTGCAATGCTGCTCTCTGGACACTGTGTGACTATTTGGCTTTCAATGTGATGGTGTGAACTGGAATTGTCATCTCGCTATTGCTTATTTTCCTTGCAATTTGGTATCAGAGTTGGTTCATATTGCGCTTCATTGGTTCTTCGCATATAGCTATTGGTTCTTCGCATGAGGTGTGGGGCAGTGATAAGGCATTGGCGTTGAACATTGGGCGGCCCAGGGGTCTAGTCCCACCTACAGCGTTGAGTTTTCTCAACGCGGAGCTTTCTATCACGTGTGGCATGGTGGGACGGAGCTCTGCCGTTGATGTATTGCGAATCTAACGGCACCACAATACAGGAGAATAATCTATTAGATTTAGTCATTTTGTAGAATTTTTTTTTGACGTGAAATCCGTTTTGTAGTATGCGTTGGCCCTTTTGGTTTGGGCGGGAAGCCATTTTCCGTTGAGAAAACTACCCTACCGAGGGTAGGGTACATTTCTCAACT